ATTCACGTCTAGACACCGCAAGATTTTGAGAACCTCCTTATTTCTGATACGAACCTCTGACATAGTGGTGGTAGACATTTTCGCACCTATGTGACTTCTGCAATGTCCAAAGCATGCAACTTGCAAGATAACGTCGGGAATCGCGATGCTTGGCTCGGAAGAAATAGGTAGATAGTATAAACAACAAATAAACCTGAAATACGATTCCGAACAGAAATTTTATCGTATTCTACTTATAATTCTTTTATTTGTAGTTAAAAATCTTGTTAGTAAACAAAGTTTTAATTTTAGTATTTTGTGTTGTTAAAATATTTTAATTATAAAAGACAAGTATAGGTAGTAATAAAGTACTTAGAGTATTACTTCTGTAGTAAAACTATTTCTTAATTCTTTTTTTGTTATAAATACCTATCTAACAATAAAAATATAAAATAAATTCACCTTTCATAACTTTCTACTAAAATCCTTCGGTCTTGGTCATTTATTTTTTTATAGTAGGAACGACGTTTTGCCGTTATACTATATCCTATAAAATATACTATACACTAAACAAAAATTATTTCAACAAGTATTTATAAAAAACTATTTACGTAGTGTTAAAAAACTTTAACATTCAATCGCCTACAACGTTTTAGCCCCGACTGCGTATGAAACTCAGGGCGTCTCGCAATTGTAGGTAGCAAGTGACAGAGGTCTGACACAATCTCTTTTCCTTAGTACTTGGCAGGCTGATTGGCAACCGCAATTTTTCTACTTCCCAGTGGGAAGTTATTGTAATGGGTCCGATTTTACAAATTGGAAATTTTAACGTATCTCCACGTTTCAAGGTCTTTAGAGTAGAATAGTATAGTTTTTAAGAGAATGTCAGTGTGTGCACATGTACGTATATATGTATGTATAAATGTTCGGATTCAATTTTCGCCTCGTGCATCTCGAGAACAAAGAGACATTTGACATGAGATTGACATGGGACCAGTTTCATTTAACGAATAATTATGTAACTTAGTTCTCATTAAATTTCGAGCAAAATCGGCCAAGTCAAGATTTTTCCGGGCTGATACGACTTAGGAACCTTCGATAAAAGAGCCTACTCCTTTTTAAAAGGCCGGCAACGCATCTGCGATTCCCCTGGTGTTGCAGTTGTTCATGGGTGGCGGTAATCACTTACCATCTGGTGAACCGTATACTCGTTTGCCCTCTTTACTTTGGATAAGACAAGAGCGCATCCGCAGAACCAAGAGGGGCTTTGACGGAGCCTGATAGCCGTGCGGATGAGAGGTCAGCAGAAGGTTCAATGGGGAAGGTGTAAAATCGTTCACATCTGGAATCCGCATGGGTGAAGTGACCAGTTGTATCAGACCATATACTAAGGCAAAGTCGTAAATAGATTTTCCCGCATGATCAGTAGTACGAGAACAGAGTCATTCGGTGTGGGAGTTGAAACTTTTGCGTTTACGGTATGAAATTCTGTTTTATTTTCGCCAACGAAGTAATCGGTTACCGATTGCCTCACGTGGATGGTCTTAGATGGAATAGATGCAACGTTTCACGTTTTTGTAACATCAGGTAATTCAATACACCACGTTTTCATAAGTTTCACTCAAAAAATTACTCTTAGACGATTTTGGGTGGGCAGGTATGCATACACGGGGCTCCTTTTGCGCGGCGTCCGTAGCAATTGCTACTCTTGCTACGTTGTTTAATCCGGCACAGTTTATTAGCAGTACGTATTATGTGTAATTTGAAATTATTACTGATGCAATACATAAAGTAGTTTTTGTTTTTTTTATTTAATATCTTGAATCGGTTCTGATTTTGCGCATACTGGTAGCTGGTTGATTAGGTTCGGTAACTAGATGAAGTATGTACACCAACAATAGGGTAGTCTCTTCGCAACATAGTCTTCTTTACTTGTATAAAGGAATTACTACCCTCACTTGATTGCGTTTTCTTTTATTTTATACCACCATTTTTTGGTGTACAAATGTATAGTCTTAGCTCAAGGGACACATTATTTGGTGGCACTACTACGATAAAACCACATGCAATTACTGAATCCTTAAAATAGTCCTATGTTCAGCAGTGGGCTGTTCACCAGCTCATGATAATGATAAAGCGATCACACAATTTTGCTTTATTAAACTTTTATTTTTTCCCCGTGTAGTGGCGGGTAAGAATACCCACTACCGCATATCTTCCCGTGGCTGTCGTTAGAGGCTACGGTGGCGACCATGGTAAAGTAGCAGGGGTGCTAAGAATCTGCGATGGAGGTGCGGCTGCCTAAGATGATTTGACCTAGCAATATATAACACACGCACCCTGAGGACTGACGAGCAGATCCTGGAGCTGGAAGAAGATATAGACAAGTTGCGCTGGGATATTATAGGATTATCTGAGGTCCGAAGAGAGGGGGAGGACACGGTAATCCTCGAAACCGGCAACCTGTTCTATCACCGGTAGGGCGACCATCTGTCTCAAGGAGGTGTCGGATTTATTGTCCACAAGTCTCTCGTTAACAACGTTGTAAAGATTGGGAGTGTTTCGACGAGGGTTGCGTACCTTATACTCTGAATCACCAAACGGTATTCGCTGAAGGTCATACAGGTTTACGCACCAACCTCGGCACATCCCGATGAGGAGGTGGAGGAAATGTATGAGGATAATTCTAGAGCCATGCATTCCTCCAAAACCCACTACACGGTGTTGATGGGAGACTTCAACGCAAAACTAGGCACAAGAGAAGCCGGTGAGCTGAAGATAGGGAAATTTGGAGTAGGGCAACGGAACCGTAGGGGCCAGCATCTGGCTGACTTTATGAAGAAAGAGGGACTCTTTTATCTTGAACTCTTTTTTCCAAAAGCTGCCCCACAGAAAGTGGACCTGGTCGAGACCCGACAGTTCGACAAAAAATGAGATTGACTTCATTATGGCGACCAGACGACTACTGTTCAGTGATGTCTCAGTGATCGCAAGAGTGAAAACTGGCAGCGATCACCGAATGGTGAGAGGCACACTGAACTTAAACGTGAAGTTGGAACGGTCACGTATAATGAATTCAATGCTGCGTCCTCCTCGTGCTCTAATCTAAAGCCCCGAAAACTTTGAGCACGTGTTATAAAATCGTTTTCATTACCTAGAAAACTGCTATGAAGTGGACGATATAAATGACAAGCTTGTGGAAACTGTCCATGCAGTCGGAGCTAAGTTCTGTAAGACCCGTCGCAGAAAAAGTCAAAAATTCTCCGATCACACTCTTAATCTCATGGATATTAGACGGGAGATGAGGCTGTATCTGCAGATTTGACAGCATACAGGCAACTGAACAGACGGATCTCCAAATACATGCGGCAGGACTTACGCAACTTTAATACAGCTCGTATGAAGAAGCGATTGAGCGGATTGAGCTCCAAAGTCTTTGCTAGAGATCTGTCTGCCAGAAAGGGCCAACTGTCGAAGCTGAAGACTGAATATAGCAGCATCGTTTTCGGGACACCTGAGATTCTGAGTAAGATTGAGAGGTTCTACGGGCAGCTGTACACATCATCGTCGGAGCCACACGCAAGTGTGAGTAACGATCCAAGAGCAAGTCTTATCCGACACTATTCCGATGATATCCCGGACGTCAGACTGAGCGAGATAAGAATGGCTCTCCAACACCTTAAAAACGGCAAGGCCCCGGGCGAGGATGGAATTACAGCGGAGCTTCTGAAAGCGGGTGGAACGCCGGTACTTGAAGTCCTTCAGAAGCTCTTCAATTCCGTCCTCCATGGCGGCACTACTCCTGAGGCATGGAGCAGAATTGCGGTGGTCTTGTTCTTCAAGAAAGGCGACAACGCTCTATGTTCTTCAAGAAAGGCGACAACGCTCTATGGAAGAAGTACAGACCGATTACCCTTCTGAGCCGCGTCCACGTGCTGTTTTCGAGAAACATTAGGAAACGTCTCGACGACTTCCAGTTTCCCGAACAAGCAGTTTTGATAAGGCTTTAGCACCATAGACCATATACATACTCTTCGGCAAATTGTACAAAAGTTCGAGGAGTATAATATGCCACTTTGTCTTGCGTATGTGGACTATGAGAAAGTTGGTACGGTATATCGAAGTACTGACGTGTTTGTACAGTAGGGCTACGATAACTATCAAAGTACAGAACCAGAGAACGAAACCTATGGCAACTGCAGATAGGTGTAAGGCAGAATGAAGTAATATCCCCAAAACTCTTCACCACTGCAGTGAAAGACATTTTCAAGCTACTGGACTTGAAAGGATACGGTATTAGCGTCAATGGCGAGTACATCACTCACCTTCGATTTGTCGATTGTTAAGTCCTTATGACAGGAGGAAGAGGAATCGCTGGAGGTCCTAAGCACTACGCTCAATGACCTCAATAGTGTCTGTATGTTTACCTGGGACAAGTACCTAATCCGACTAAGTAAGTCCAACTTCGACCGAGAGGTCAATCGACGGATTCATCTCGGCTGGGCAGCGTTCTTTCAGATTGCAACACATCTTCCCGTCAGGCATACCTCAAAATCTCTAAACTAGATTGTAGCACCAGTGCGTGTTGCCAGTGATGACATATGGATCTGAGACGTGGGCCATCACTGTCGGCCGTATGAGGAAGTTAAAGCTAAAGCGTGATAAACTAAGAAATGAGGATATCCACAGTAAAACCAGAGTAACCGACATATCCCAACGGATTAGTAAACTGAAGTGGCAATGGGCCAGCCACATAGCTTGAAGAACTGATAACCAATGGGGGAAAAAAGATTCTCGAGTGGTAGCCTCGTATCGGCAGGCGAAGTGGAGGGCATCTCCCCACCAGATCGAGTGACGACCTGGTAAGACATGCAGGAAGTCGATGGATGCAGATGGCTCAGGACCGTGCTTTGTGGCATTCCTTGGGCCTATGTTCAGCAGTGGACTTGTGAAGGGTTGTAATGATGATGAACGATAAAGCTTTTATGTAATGAATGGTAATAGATTTTATATTGTTTCAGATTTGGCGAAGGAACCACGCAAAGGCTTCCCGTAGAGGCCCTTGGCGACAGGGACCTAGTTGACAGACTCAGCAAGCTGCCGTTAGACAAGCAACCGTTCTGGTTCATAAATTGGCAAGCAATAGAAGCCCACAGGCAGAAACCTCAAACGTTTCCCTTGAGACCGAACCCATTTGCGCAACCACCCACCAACGGATTCGGAAATCCTGTAATAAGCAATGCCAATACGGGAGCAACGAATGTGAATTCTGGGACGAGTACCGACTTTGGTAACCGAAGTGGTGATGCTAGTATAAATAGCAGTACAGTGAAAATGAACAGCTCCAGTGTATTCACACCACAATCACCAGTAACTAAGCCCAACTATAAGAGTAATATAAAACACTTCTTGCATACATCAATGAATGGAACTACAGAATCAGGAAGGACTTTTATTCGTCAGTATTGAAATAAACTCCAATTTATATAATTTTACTAATATTTAAATATTAATTTTTGATGAAACAATAAAAATGCATACTCAAATAAAACACATTATATTGACTTTTAAATAAATAAACCCTTAATTAGTTACTAAGCGTATACTTACAACTAAAACCTTAAGGTATTGTATAAATAAAAAATAGTAAAACGCAATAGTAACATCTAAACAGTATGACTGATTTTTTTTCTACATAACAGTTATACATCATGTCAAACAAATCCTTTACAAACGTGTCACCAAGCAATGGAATATTTCCCAAAAACATTTCAAAGAACTAGCACTTATGTTAACTCTTCCAAATAAAAAAGTAAAATGTTTATCCAGCAAATATAAATAAACGAGCTGTGTCCTTTACTTGGGTTTAGTTTAATTTGAAGTATCAGTATTTTGTACTTTTAGTTTAATAACTTACAGCAGATTAACAAATCGATAAAATCATTTTTAATCTGTATGTATGTATGTATTCCTGCATACCCAATTTAAAGCAAAATTAAATAACACTTTCCATTGCTTTGGTATTATAGCACACACCATATTTCTGTAACTGTAGATTATGTTTTATTTGAAATTGTAAAAACATAGTTTACTTGACATAGAAATATATAAAATATACAAAAATATTTGGAGCATTCTCAAAAATACACGCAGTAAGAGCTTATATAACACAGCCCTATAATTAAATGCTTATCTAGGTATATATTTCATACACATTTTGCAACTGAGGCCGAATTGCAAAATGTTACATCCGATCAACAATAATTTCACATCGCTTAATATAATGACATCGATATATATTTGTATTGAACAAAACTATTAATTAATAAATAAAAAACGAAGGGTAAAGTTAAACACTAAAAGCTTTCAATTGACTGGCCGCAGGCCTTGGATCATTTTAGACAGATCAATGGTGCAGAGGTCTAATAAAAGATAATTTTATGGGCTTAAATCGCATTTTATACTGAAAGAGTAAATCCAATAGATTAATTTATGTCAATGTTTAGTATTCGCATAATTATTACATGTACTTAATTTGTTGGTGAGAGAATAGATTACATAAACAAATTTTTGTTAGATGTTATTTTAGAGGTTATTTCAATCAAAGTTCTAAATTAATTTGACTGCAATACATATAGTTGCCCTATTTGCGGCGGCAATTTCTAAAATGTTAACAGTAACCTTTTTAAGATCTGAGATTTGATGAACAAGTAAAATTAAAAAAAAAATTATAACCGACTTCCATAATAAATAAAAAATAAAACATTATCATTATAGTCGATGTCAATTAAATATGCGTTATTAAGGATAACTCAAAACTACTGGTCAGATCTTGATCAAATTTTTATAGGACCACATGAGAAGTACCAGCTTTCAAATAAAAAAAAGAATTATCAAAATCAGTTCACCTAGAAATAATTTATGAGGTATATACACACAAAGAATAACAAAGTCGAATTGAGAACCTCCTTCTTTTTTGAAGTCGGTTGAAAATAGAAAAGCAGTCAATCTAGAAGCATAGTTAAAAGAGAAAGATAGAAAACAATGTTATATAAATAAGTAGAATATGAGTTTCAGTTAGCACTGTTTAGTAAAATGTCTTCAGATAATGGAATCACTTTTCAAAGGCTTTTTAAGTTGGAATACAATGAGAGGTCAGTCAGTTTAAATTACAACTAGGACAGCAATATAAACAAACAATCTCTTATTTCAAATAGTTATTATGTATAATGTTAATGAAAAAACCTATAGCAATAAATCCAGGCGCATGAGCAAAAACTCATAAGTACAAAAATCACAAAAAATACTCTCAAGAAAAATAAAAACGAAAATTCTCTTACTTAATGTCATGTTTTGTAAAACTCCATAGTAAAAAATAAACCAGTTTAATTACATTACAAATATATGCATTGATCTGCGTACCCTATATGGCATGTTATATCTCAGCCATAGACAAAACACCATTAGTGACATAGAGTATAATTACATTTGGCTTTTAATATATAATATCAAAAACTGTTCCTATATTAATATATTATACAGTTCATACCCATACCTAGCTTTAAAGAGATGCGTCTTTAAAATGCATAAAAAAATTCTGAATCTGAGCATTTTGCACGTTGTCTAGTAAAAATGCAAATTATATAACTATACAAATAACTAGCAATACAACTCACGTTACAAATTTGGCCAAATAATACTAAATAATAAGTATAATGTACTAATGTAGTATGTGAGTTTGGAATTTTCGCGGCAAATTTTGATGATGTTAAAAAATTAGAAATTACTTTACATTCTCAGTAGGAAAAAATAAACAAAAAATCACATTCTCAATAAATAAAACATTAAAATTGTATTTTAACGTAACAACTAAATAATCATTTTTTTAAAAAAAGCATTATAAAAAGCAATGATTCTTTATTATATTAAAGAGAAATTGACTTTTTGCCTTGAAAATCCCTACCCATTTAGATTATTAAATACACTCAATCTGAGTTCAAGAGCTTGAATCGCTGTACATTTAAATAAGCTCTTCGTGTAAAAACAAACCGAAAATAAACATCAAAACAGCAAAAAAAAAAAAAGGCAGAGGGTGTGCTGCGTACATTCTAGTGATGCCGAAATCATGCTCAACTTCTTTACACGCACACACGCACACGCGCACACTTCTTTCTTTCTTTAACTGCACGTAAAAGTTTACTGCTTGGATGCACACATATGCGCGTAAAACCATGTTGTTGGTTGTAAATAATTAAAAATGCGTTATGTGTACTTGAGTGAATGTTCTTACTTCCTACAATAAATTAGTAGATTTTAAGTCATTTGAAATGTACGTAGCGTACTCCATCTTTCTTTCTTTGTTGGTTTGAGAAATAAACAAGGTAATATCATTGGCTTTGAAAAGCTTTTTTCTTTATTACCGTGCAATTATGAGCAGTTGCATTGACGCAACAAATATGACGGACCACGTCAATGAAATCTTCGTTGCTGAGTTTGTTTTCGTGACAGAAGGTAACCTCACGCTCTTGTAATGGCACGACCTTTCGGCTGTATCGTTATTCGTTAGCTCCGTGAAGTTCGGATAGTTCTGGATTTGGACAGGCTGTTAATTAAAAAGGAAAGTTAATATTGAAACTCATAGCTGAAATATTTACTTATAGAAATTTTTACATTTCCTAAGGCACAAACAAATAGTTTACTTTATTTCATTGAGCTATTAATATTACTTAAATAATTAATTAATTAATTAATTACTTCAATGCTTTATTGAAATATTTCGTTACTCTTTAATATAATGATTGCATATTCAAGAGCTTCAGAAATAAATTCAATTGAAAAAAACGTCCTAATACGACATTTTAACCACGTTTTTTTAAGTCATTTTCTTGTTTATCTGTCTGTCTGGCTATCTGTTGTTCCGGGTAGAATTTAGTCATTGATTTAAAACTTACTTCCTAATGAACTGGAATCTTTAAATTTTGAATTTAGTCTCATTTGGATGACAATGCAAGAATACGATCAAAAACGTGGTAGGTATATTAAAAAAAATACAAACTTTAAAAAAATTATAAACTATAAAAAGGTAAGTAGTAGTTTTTGTCTTGATGCCCATAAGATATAGGTATAGCCCGTACCATTGCTATTTACACCAAAAATTATGTTAATTGTTGCTGCGTGATCGTACTAAAGGATGCCATTCCCACTTAGACATAAATTTGCTGTGCCTTAGCAAGTGCTCGACTTATACGATATAATTAATCAAGGTCAAAATTACTTTTTAAATAGCTCGACCTATAAAATACAATTAATCAAGGTTAAAATTACTTTTTAAATAATATGACATGAAATAATCTGTTTTAATTACCACGTAGTGGCGGTGTCAAAATATCCACTACCTTATATCATCCCGTGGTTGTCGTAAGAGACGACAGAGGGAAATAAATCAGGAGATGGGCAACAGCGTCTCGAAACCTGCGGTTGCCAACTCGCTTGCCAAACGTGGCAACTATGGCAAATATCCCTAAGAGGCAATCTATGGGGGAGGTCTATGTTGTAACTGTAACGGTAAATAATCTGTACAAGTACATAATTTGTAAATTTAATTTCGATCCTAGTACTAATAGTCTACCTGTCAGTGGAAATGAAGTGCTGTGGACCAAATAGACGTACATTTATCCTCGACTAAAAGCCAAAATGCGGGTGCGTCATTACCCACGAGGACAAAACGGAAACGCTTTGTATCCAGTATAAGGGTATCTGGTACACGTCACTCACATAACACACTAATAGATATTACGTTGCTACTTCACGCTATTCTGTGAGAGCGTGGTTTTCGCCTGACGAGCCCAATTCAGCTAGCGTGTTCTTACACGTAAATTATTATAAGAACTTAAATCGACTCTTTAAATAACTTACCGCTCCCCAAGAATCGTCGTTCTTTTTGCAAAAAGTCATATGCATCCCTCTGTAAAGAGTTTTTTCAATTTGTTCGGTTAACAGCGGTTCCGACCATGGCATCTCGTTTAAATGCGCCAAGAAAGTCTTATTGCGGAACTCGGGTGGTTCTTTTATGACCAGCTCCTCTGAAAAATGAAACAATAATATTAATAAAGAAAAATTTATTCCGGACAAGAATAAGTTGTAAAAATAAATCTGTCGGCGTTATATTCTTTTTACATAAAACAAGCGACAAATGAACTTTTATAGTCCCACTTACGGTGAGTACGAGGGGCGTTCAATGTATCCTCGGTATGGGTATGTTAGAAAATAGATAAAGTTAGTATATATGAATATGATTTTTTTAATTACCTACATTATTAGCATATCAGCGTAATACCGAGAATACATTGAACGCCCCTCGTTGCAACTGCACTGGACACCAGAAGCCAACTTCATACAAACATGATTACAGATGCGTTTTTACCCCTGAGTATCAAATGAAATGAGACCAGAACACGGTAATGCAAGCATTATTTTCAGCCGGCAGCAACAGGTAAAAGGATAGAAACTATCCAGACTAATAGGAAGAAAATGAGTCTTATGACTTAGGCCTTAGGTGCGACTTAGGATAGGTGTTAGTAAAATTTACTAACACTTAATAGATGCAGGTAGCTAAGGACCGTGCTTTGTGGCATTCCTTGGGGGAGGCCTATGTTCAGCAGTGGATTTGGGCTGTGATGATGATGAATGATGATGAATATATACAGTAGCTATCATGTATTCTACTAGTATTCCACAGTGTGGTGTACAAATATATTTCTATTCGTTCTGACCAATAGAAGTAAAATCGATCAATTAAACATACAATAATAACGTAAAATATAATTCCTACATTAAAACATATTATACCAAAACTAACCTTCTTTATATAGGATTAAGGTGACAAACGAACACACAGTACCACAGAGCAGTGGTTGCTGTGGCCCATAGACATCTTCATCTATCATTTAATACGAATCAAATGCAGATGCGTTGTCACCCGTGAGGACTAAGATAGAATGTTTCCATGGAATTCGGTTCTCTACACTCATAATGCGAAATACAGTAGCGTTAAGCTACTATTTTACGCTGGCACTCTGTGAGAGTGTGGTCCTTCCCCGGTCGAGCCGACCTATTCGTGCTAAAACTATACTACAAATATAGCTGCAACATAGCTCCATCATGTACAACCAACGTAACCTTTTATTTTACCAATATTTTTTGACTAAGTTACCACCTGATGTTAGGTGAGAAATTCGTTATCCCTCAATGGTCGTCGATGGTAAACAGTTTTGGTTACAAACAGCCTCTTTACTCTTGAATTAAAGTGTTAAATTATATTGGCCAGTGAAACCCGATAAAGAATTATTAATTTGCATATAATGTTTGGTTGAATTGTGTCGAGATCTTGTAATTGTCTCTGGATATGCTATATATGACCCATCGTAAGAAAATGGCAGAAGGCATATGTAGTGGAACGAATAGATAAAGTTCCAGCCTATATCCATAATATCTAATACTCGCTGTAAATTTCACAGTAAGCGAGCAACCCGAGTTCGATCCCCGCTGGCACATATGAAATTGTTAATTGCAATTTTAATTGTTGAACTACCACGTGCTTGGCGTTGAATAAAAACATCGTGATGAAACCTACATTTCTAGAAAATTAAAAAAAAATCGAAGATATATAAAATCCGCCAACACGTATTGGGGCAACACGGATATTTCCTTGCCCTAAAACTCTCTCAGAAACGAGAGCCTGTGCCCAGCAATGGTACGTATACTGCCTGTAACTTTAGTGCGCAAAGTTTTAAAGTTCTCTCTGCCCCTTAGAAGCTCCTCAAGAAGTTGCTCAAAACTACTTATATAGAAATCTTAACAATTCTTCATAATTAATATTCTTCGAGCTAGTGTCCCAGGAGGATGATAATTTACTTAATTTACTACTCGAATACTCACTCATAAACCCAACACCCTGGTCGTCTCCCTGCATGCCTGTTTCTTCTGATTCCTTTCGTTGATTATCTTTGGGTAGGTTCGGATATTCGACGTATCTGCGGAAAAAATTAATTCACTGTAGAAATCCAAATACATCAAATCTTAACACTTTAGTAACATTCCTTCAATTCTGCTTATAGATCAACTCCCGATTAATAGCTGTCCACGACCCCTGAACGTTATAATGAGTGATTATCATTACTCCAAGCAATAATGCCAAACGACTTAGTTATTACATACATGTTGCGACGTCCTACATATTAAGGCAGCATAATCATCTAAATAACCGTGTAGTGGTGATATGCAGAAATATCCACTTCCCAATATCATTCCGAGGGCGTCGTAAGAGGCCACAGAGAGAAACAAAACCAGGAGATAGACAGCAGCGTCTTTCCAAAAACAACAAATAGAAATGGCGCCTAAACTCCCCAAAAGACGGAGCTATTTCAGCTTTCATATACCGTAAAGGATGATTGCAAAATAAGTTTATACTCACGAGGAGGACAGGAAGGTATTTTCAACCTGCGTCATGTTTACTCCATAGAACTCTTTGACGCCGAACGTCTCGAAAAATTCTTTCGCTGGAGTCATAGAATAACAGCCAGCAAGTTGTGTTCGCGGATAATAGAGTACGAAGGACAGGCACATCTCCTGAAATATATCAAAATGTATAACATCTTTAGAGCATAGAAATCAATAAAAAAGCACGTTATCTCCTTCACATTCAAGTTGCAGACGTCTGCAACCATATACGCATATTTTTTAAATCCGCATTTTTGATACCGATCGGTTTATATTTTACAAAATCTTAAGCCAATTAGCCAAAAAACTTTATAAGATGGTAATGCTTTTTACGCCTTATTAATGTTGTAATCAGCCCCATAGCCATTACTGCAGCAACTCCGAAATAGGTACATGCGACCGTAATTTTCCATCTATACCTCTATTTTTGTGGCTACGTAGGCATGAAGCATGTATGTGTAGTATGTATGTATAGTAAGATATAACTGTTTTTAAATATAAAATACAAATTTATGGTTATTAATTTTAGGTTTTGTTATTAAAACTCACCTGTACATAATCTTACATCAGTTAATGTTCAGCCATGCTTTTTATAGGCCGTTATAAAAAATAATGGTTGGACTTAATATTCTATGTCAATGGAAATAAACATAAAATTTAAGTGTATCGTTATATACAAGGAAAGTTTGTACAATTAAAATAACATAATGATATAAAATTTTAGGTAAAAGTAAACAAACCTGCATTGCTGAATAGCCTCCCAGTATTGACTTATCTCTAGAAGTACTGTCATAGGTACACTCTGTAATTAAAGTGTCTCCTTTGTAGAATTTTCTTCCACCAGGAACAATGCGGGACTGCTGATAGCGAACATCGTAAGAATTTTCCTGTATCAAAAAACAAATCTTTATTAACTTTACATAACAAACATTTAATTGCAAATATTTATAAACGTCGGGAAAAGGAAAAAAATGCAGTAACGTTTTACGAACGTAATTTTCAAATTATAAACAAAATTATTAAAACGCCACCTATTGTAAGACTACCTAAATTAATTTTTACTAAATCCCAGCGAGACTATAAAGAACAATTTAGTTTTTAGAAACTCGTATAGATGTCGTTATATTGACAAATTTGCTTATACAACCCACCGCCATCTATTTACCTTTAATTTTTACTATTACTTACAATGCTATTGTTCTCAGCAAGGGGCTTAAAATAAATACATTTATTTCTAGTAAAATTATAGATCGCGCTTTTAGAGTAATTTTTTTTATTCTTTAGAATTGTATTCCATTTTTCACCGTGATGTTAAAGAAAAGTTACTAACCTCTGATACCCGAGGTAATTCCTCACTGCCTCTAACATGCTTCAAAGAAATCTTCTTGGCAGTACCATGAGCGTGAAGTAACACAGACACAATAGTTATTCCTTCATCTGGTATCATCTGTAATAAGAAAATGAAATTATGTACAAAGGTAGCCTTTCTTTTTTCTACCTTTTCTACTGAACTCTTGAAAAAAATTCATCACTAAAGAACTTCGTTCAGTAACTGCCACATAGTAAGAGCACGGAGCCAGGTACATCTCTCAACTTTCATGTTTACAAGAGCGTCACTCTATCTAGTGGAAGATGGCCATATTAGTGTTTCGAAATCGCTACACACAGAAACTTTTTAAAATGCCACGAATTGTCGATTAAGTTGCAGTAGAGCGTGCTGCTACTATATTACTGGTGCTGCTACAGCACGAATGGGTCGTCGTCACGAATAGGGTTAGAACAACACTCTCACAGAATACCAGCGTTACATAACAGTTTAATGCTGTTGTGGTTCTAATTGTATAGTGTAGAGAACTGGAGACCCTTTTTACTGGAAACGATGACTTCCACCTTAGTCCTCATTGACGACGCATCTGATAGATGTAGATGTCTATTGGCCGTAGCATCCACTTACCATCAGGTGGACTGTGTGCTCGCCTGTTACCTTGAGCTTCTATTACATAGTGCCAAGGTAAGAGTGCTTGTACGCTTAGCCTGTCACTCAATGGTATCTCGGACGAACCAAAAAATTAATTTTAATTATCGCTGCCGCTCAGAACCGCTATAGCCAGACATGCCGTCCCTCACCCCTCTTCTTTGAATAATATTTATTTTTCTACGTCAGTAAAAGTCGAAAGTCCACTTATGGTCATGACCAGGGCTGTCCCGTTTAAGGAAAGAATCGTGTAACGCAAGACATGCGGTTTGACGACCGCAGACGTCTCTTACCTTTTGACAGTGCTCCGCGTCGTTAGTCTGAGTATCAAGTGTACTGGCGCATAGGTAGAACGAAGGCGCTCGTTCTCACTTAACCATATCAGATGTAAATTCAAATACCGACATTATTACTGTAATTGCACAAATTTAGGCTTTCGGCAGCGTTTCGTTCACTCTCATATTACGACTCTCAATCATAGAACATAAAAATCATTTATAATTTTGATCAGTGATCCTCACCGATTCATATATACCGCACGTACCGTGTTGGTGCACTCGGAGCCGCATATACCGACGGTCCGGTAGTGACGCTGCTTGGGCGGTATCACGTGCAGCGCTGATATCCCGATACCGGCGCCCAGAAGTGCTGCGTCATGCGCTCGCAGTTGAGGCGTGTAGTGGATCCTTATTCCAGAGCTGTCTAGAACTGAAATAAAAAAAATTCATGTGTCAGTTAACAGACCAATTTTTTGAATAACCTCTCCAGAAATAGATTAGGCTGATTCATAAATAAATTATTAATAAATTATCAACCAATTTTAACGTGATAGTAATGCTACAGCTATATTACAGTAGTAGCACGAATGGATCGGATAGACGGGGAAAGGACTACGTTCTCACAGAACGCCTGCTTTAAATAGCAGCTTATTACGATTGTTTCGTATTGTGAGTGCACCGGAGACACTTTTTACCGATAACGAGCTAACGAGACATTAGTTACGATTCTTAATCGAAAGCGGATGTAGGTATCTAACAGCCACAGCATCTGTGGCCGTGGTAGGGAAAAGGGGAGATCTCCCGCCGGGCAAGGTGTTCTGCCCGGAGAGCGGCCAACGCTTCATGTGATGATAGTTCGGAGATGTTCTATATATACTGTTAATGATTCGGAATTTTGATAGCGTGATTTAGGCTACGGTGTGTTTCGCTTGCGGCGCGACGACAGCACCGCCACATCACCCCCCTGCTCAGACCGTAGGTCGATAGTGCAGCCTCGTTACCGACGAATGTGCAAGTGCCAGGAGTTTGCCTTGTAGTCTGCGGTGAGTCGAGAAGAAGACAAGTAATCTGCGAGTGCCGTGAAGCAGAGACGAGCAGTAAGACTCAGAGCCGTGCCGAACACTGTAGCGCAGAGTGTAACTTGAAGGAACAGGAAGCATTATTATACCAGTGCTGCGATGAACATTGTGAAGCTAGCTGGCTTGCGGGATATGAAGACTGCAGACGATATCTGCTCGGGAGCGAATGGGTGGGGTATTCTATGACGACGATGAAACTTGAAGTTTCCGAAGGTTGTTGGTTGTGTGTTCAGATCACGTCGGTTAGTCACCACTGTGGCCGTGGAAGGAAAAGGGGAGATCTCCCGCCGGGCAAGGTGTTCTGCCCGGGGAGCGGCCATCACTCAGTGTGATGATAGTTCGGCGATGTTTATGTTTATGATAGCGTGATTTAGGCTTCGGTGTGTTTCGCTTCCGGCGCGACGACAGCGCCGCCACACATCCACTAACGATCAGGTGGACTGTGTGCTCGTTTGCCGTTATTATGAAAATTAACAAGATAGCTAGTCACGAGCCTCTCCCATTACAATTATTACACTTAGCAGGATTCCCATCGCCTATGGTTATTTTACATCGTTTGGCACAATACGAGATGGTATATCGCTATTTATCGAAAGGTCAAGCGATTTTTCTTCAGTATCCCGTGACTGTCGTAAGCCGACAGAGAGAGACTAAAACAGGAGACGAGCAGCAGCATTTTTCTAATAGCAACTCAAAATAATAATAAAAAACAGTGGTTGCCGCAATATTTGACATATTTGTCACGCTTGACATCCCCGCCAGCAACAAAGCGTGACAACTGTGTCAAAAACAATCCCTTTGATAGGCTGCAATGATGATGTGATCTGTGGTCTACAGTCTATACCCATGTGACGAAATATTGGGATTATAATTCTCTTTCGAAACCACCAGACTTGAGTACAGCGCCGCCCATCGGACTTAGCTATAAACAATCTCATCAAAAAACTAATATTTTTTGTGATTAAGACCTGAATAGATCAAGTCGTTTACCATTAAATATATATTATGATAATATAATATGTTATAAAAAAATAAAATCACTCTACTATCAAGTTTCAACTTTAGTTGAAACCTCAGCAAAACTTAACATTGCGTGCGGTTAATATGAAATGTATATTAAATAACTCATTCACACCCACCTTCGTGCAGCGCTTGATTATCATAATGAACTTCCAACATGTAGAAGGTCGCGCCACCTCTCTTACCTATAGGTATGCCGACGTTTTCGGGAAGGAATTCACCTGTAAATACAATAGGAAACACGCAAAATTAGATGTTGGAGTTTATTCATAGAATTCAGTATTGTGTGAGGTAAGCTTCTTATTAATATGTTATTAAATTGATAAACTTACGAGGAAACGAATGACAAATAAATATATATTGTTTTTAATTTTTTTTTTGTTGTTTGGTTTGATACTTATGTGGTAGAGCCATGCTGCAGTTATATTAGTAGTATAGTTGTAGCACGAATGGGTCGGCTCGACCGGGGAAGGGCCACGCTCTCACAGAATACCAGCGTCAAATAGTAGCTTAATGCTCCTGTGTTTCGTATGGTGAGTATAGAGAACCGGAGACCCTTTTTACTGGAAACGAGGCATTTCATCTAAGTCCTCACGGATGACAACGCATCTGCATTTTGATTCGTAATCGAGGATAGATGTAGATGTCTATGGGCCACAGCAACCACTTACCATCAGGTGGACTGTGTGCTCGTTTGTCATCCTATCCTATAAAAAAAACTTAAATCATACATAAGCATAGTTTGCTTGTGTATAACTAGGCTATATATGTGTGTATCTAGGGTTGACATTGACACACTTGTTTAAAATAGTTTATATGCTAACTATTAAACACGGTTTCGGACCGGTTGCGCCTATTTAATTCAAAAATCGCACCGTATTTTCATAAATCTGTTATTCTTTATACATTTATTTAGAAAGTATTTGTAACATTTTGTTAAAAAAAAGCTTTTACACAATTTTTATACTAAAGCTTTACATTGGCAAATTTTGGGAGATTTCGTACCCATTGACCGTCCGCTGGGTTAACAAGATTGTCCAATGGGTTAATAGCGGACAGTCGATGTCGATTACAGACATCTGTTCTGAAACTAAATCCGTGATGACGATAGTATCTCAATTTCTTAAGGTACCCAAGTGCATTATAACTTGAAGTTTATATCAATATCGGAGCACCTATTTCGGCGTTTTTACTAATAGTGCACACGTTTCGACACTTAATACAATTTAAGTATCAAAATCCACTTCAAAACATTATTTAAAGGGTAAAATGAATAGAAAGTACGAAATCAATTCATATCGGACTACGAGAATGTAAATAGGATCTCAATTTTAGTGTATTAAGAAATTGTGAATTTTAACTATCAATAAAAATACAAACCTTTAGATCCCATTGCCCAAGCCGCGACGGGTGTCACACAAATTGTCCACTCTGGAGGTCTGTTGGGTCCATAGAATCCGTCACCTTTCGCCCATTCGTTCCACGCGTAATCGTCCGGATCATCAGCACATTCGTACAGCACCATATGATGTACGGGCGAGAGGCTGTTCTTCTCGAGGACCGGCCTACCGTTCTTAATCGGCCGGCTGTCTATAATAGGTTCGTAACCGACCATGTGGTGCTTCTTTGGTAGATCGGGTGCTTTGAAGATTTTACACCAAAACAGCGTCGCCATAACGTGTGGTATATTTAACTGAAATAAATATACAATAATTTTATCTCGTGCTCTTTATTCTGGCAACTTAAATTTTTAGTTAGCAAAGTTAATTGGCATTTTACCCTTGAATCTTGTTAATGAGATTGGTAACTTTAAATAAAATTGAAATATGTAAAAAATACGTAAATGTATTTAGTAAAACAACAAGTAAGCTGCAATATATTATGTGCATGTTTTTGTTAGGACAAACTTTGGTTTCCTAATACTTATAGTCAATATTTATTGCGCCGTAGTAGCTCAGATGGTAAATATAACAGAACGCGAGTAACCTTGGTTCGATCCCCGCCGGCACCAAAGAAATTGTTAATTACAATTTTAAGTGCTCATTTACCACGTGCTCGGCGGTGAAGGAAAACATCGTGAGGAAACCTGCATGTCTGAAGAATAAGAAATAAAAAAAATATTTCGAAGACATGTGAAGTTCGCCAACACGCATTGGGGCAGCGCGGCGGACACTTCCTTGCCCTAAAACCCTCTCAGAAATGAGAGGAGGCCTATACCCAGCAGTGGAACGTATATAGGCTGTAACTTTACTTTTTACTTTACTTATAGTCAATAATTAAAAGGAGTCTCCTTTTTAAATATTTACCATAAGTATTGTGTACAATACATTAATAAAATATACATAACAAATTAGGCATACATCTTTAAATAATATGAGTATAATTACGTAGTAACGCCACCCTGGAACGCTTCAGCTACAGATGAATTATGGCTGTAGGTTCCCTCTAGGAAGGGTAACCCTCATACAAAAGCAACGTAAAAGAGCAGCATAACGTATTTCTAGTGCGGAATGGTAACAACCGCAACACCAACAACGTATTCAGAAGTATCAATGCATCTGATTTTGATCCTTTATTGAGTATAGAAGTAGGTATTTCTGAGTGACAGCACCTACTAACCATCAGATGGGCTGTGTGCCCGCCTATCATGCTTATTTCTAAAGAAATGAGAATTACTATTAATTCTACACAACTTGTTCAATCAAGCTATCCTTAATTATAATTACAAAACATTTGTATGCAGATGATAGGAATACAACATGATTTTGCTAGCGGATATATGTGTGTATGTGTGTGTGTGTGTGTGTGTGTGTGTGTGTGTGTGTGTGTGTGTGTGTGTGTGTGTGTGTGTGTGTGTGTGTGTGTGTGTGTGTGTGTGTGTGTGTGTGTGTGTGTGTGTGTGTGTGTGTGTGTGTGTGTGTGTGTGTGTGTGTGTGTGTGTGTGTGTGTGTGTGTGTGTGTGTGTGTGTGTGTGTGTGTGTGTGTGTGTGTGTGTGTGTGTGTGTGTGTGTGTGTGTGTGTGTGTGTGTGTGTGTGTGTGTGTGTGTGTGTGTGTGTGTGTGTGTGTGTGTGTGTGTGTGTGTGTGTGTGTGTGTGTGTGTGTGTGTGTGTGTGTGTGTGTGTGTGTGTGTGTGTGTGTGTGTGTGTGTGTGTGTGTGTGTGTGTGTGTGT